GTGAGTGAGTGTGAGTGAGTGATGAGTGAGTGGTGTGTGTGTGTGTGTGTGTGTGTGTGTGTGGTGTGTGTGTGTGTGTGTGTGTGTGTGTGTGTGTGTGTGTGTGTGTGTGTGTCTGTGTCTGTGTGTGTGTGTGTGTGTATGTGTGCTGTGATTGTGCGTGTAAAGGTGATAATATACCTGTGTAAGTATCTGTGTACGCTTGTAAGTGTGTGAATGTACGTCCCTCCTTCCTCACTCATATCATATTACCAGATACACGAAATTCCCAAACAGGAAGAATCGCTCGCGAATCTCATAACCGCGGCCTATAAAGTAGGTTGTGTTATTTATTCCACCAAATATTTTTCGTAGAGACTGATCCCCTCTGTTCCCTTCCCCTCTCCCCCCCCCCCCTAATACTACTCACCGTCCGCCCCCCCCCTTTTCTGCTTCCCCTTTGTTCTCCCTCTCCCCTCTGCTACCTCACCCCTTTCCCCTCCCCTTAATCCTCTGCTGTCCTTCGTCTTCACTCCCTCTTTCCCCTCTCACCCTCCTCTCTACTCCGCCCCCCCCTTCGTCCCCCATTCCGTACTCCCCCCCCCCCATTCGTCCCCCATTCCGTACTCCCCCCCCCTCTTATATCTCCTCTACTGCCCTCTCACCCCCCTCCCCCCTCTACCACCCCCTCCATACTCCTGTTCCTCTGCCCTCCCTCCTCCCCCCCCCCCTCCCCCCATCACTCCTCCCCCAACCCCCCCCCTGTAATAGTTGCCATCGCTCGGTTCCACGATTTGCCATAACTTAGGTAAAGAAAAAAGAAAAAAAAAGTAAGTTGCCATTTTCCTTTTGGTCGGATATCAAGCGGGAGGATTTAAAGTTATAACACGTATGCGTTTCCTAATTTTGATAATTTATTCCCCTCCCCCCCCCCTTTAGTTTGTGGCACAAATCGGGCTTATTGGGCTTACAACCTCGATGCGGATTCACGTATGTTATCGGTCGCGGGGGGGGGGGGGGGAGGGGGAGGGAGAGGGGGGCAAAAAAAAAAAAAAAAAAGGAGATTTTCTCGCCTCAAAACTCGGTGCTAATATTAGGGGGGGGGGGAATTATCACTTTTCGACGTGATATTTTTTATATTTATATCGGAGAGAGCGGTGGGGAGGGTTGGGGTTGGGGGGGAGAGGGAGAGGTGGAGTAGTGGATTGTGGGGGTTGGGAAGTAGGGGAGGGGGGGGGTTGAGGATGAATGAGGAGGGTGGGGGGGAGGGGTATTCTATTACACAGCATCTTGGGACAACAATAAAGCTTTTATGGATGGATCACGATTGAAAGAGCTTTGTGCAATCTGTGTTGTCCCTGTCTCCTATTTACCGCCCCCCCTCCTCCCTTCCATCCCTCTCCCTCTTCCTATCCCCCTTCTCTCCCGCTCCCTCCCCATTACTTATCCCCCTTCTCTCCCGCCCCCTCCCTCTCTCCTATTCCTTCTCTCCCGCCCCTCCCTCTCCCCTCCCTCTCCCACCCTCCCTCTTCCCTTCTATCCTTCTTCCCTCTCCCCATCCCCTCTCCCCGCCCCTCCCTCTCCCTGCCCTCTTCCTCCCCTTCCCTTCCCCCTCCCCTGTTCTCTCCCTTCTATCCCCTCCCACCCCCTCCCTCTCCCCTATCCCCTTCTATCCCTCTCCCTTTACTCCTTACTCACGAATGCGGAGATTTAAAAAATAAAAATAAAGAAGAAAGAATAAAAGAAGAAGAAATAAAAGAAGATGAAAAAAAAAGACGAAAGATGGAAAAAGAAAAAGAAAATAAATTGGAGAAGGAAAAAAAATATTGCAACATAAAGCTCGCTAATCTCCTCATGATGCAAGAAAACTTTTATGCAATGTCTTGGGCGATAAGAATCAGGAAAAATGGCACTCCAGAACTCAAACCGGAATAGTCCCGTCCAGTCCATTGTTCCAGGTCGCGTTATCGTCCGAGGGTGTGTTTGTTGAGGCGCAGGTGTGGTGGTGGATGGTGAGGGGGGGTGGTGGGGGGTGGGCGGTGCGTAGGTGGTGGTGTTGGTGGTGGTGGGTGGTGTGGGTGGGTGTTGGTGGTGTGAGGGGTGGTGTGGTGGGGGGTGGTGGTGGTGGTGGTGGTGATGGTGTGGTGGTGGTTGGTGGTGGTGGTGCTGTGGTGGTGTGTGGGGTGTGGGTGGTGGATGTGGGGGGGTGTGGTGTGTGGGGGTGGTGGGGTGGTGTGGTGATGGTGGTGAGGTGGGTGGTGGTGGGGTGGGTGGTGGGTGGTGGGGGGGGGTGGGGGAGGTGGGGGTGTGGATGGTCTGGTGGTGGTGGTGGTGGTGGTGGTGGGTGGTGTATGGTGGTGTGGTGGGGATGGGGTGGGTGGTGGTGTGGTGGTGGGGGGAGGTGGTGGTGGTGGGGAGGTGGCGTGGTGGTGGGTGATGGTGGTGGTGGTGATGGTTGGTGGTGGTGATGGTTGGTGTGGTAGTGGTGGAGGTGGTGGTGATGGAGTGGGTGGGGGGTGATGGGTGTGGGGGTGATGGTGGTGGTTGGTGGGTGGGGGGTGGTGATGGTGGTGGTGGTGGTGGTGGGGGGGTGATGGTGGTGGTGGTTGGTGATGGAGGTGGTGTTGGTGTGGTGGGGTGGTGGATGATGGTGGTGGTGATGGTGGTGGTGGTGAGGTGGTGATTGGTGGTCGGTTGAGGGTGGTGTGGTGGTGATGATGTGGTGATTGGTGGTGTGTGGTGGTGGTGGTGGTGGGGTGGTGTGATGTGTGGTGGTGGTGGTGGTGGGGGGGTGAGGGTGTGGTGGTGTGGTGGTGGTGATGGATGTGGTGGGTGGTTGGTGGTGTAGTGGTGGTGAGTGGTGGTGATGGGTGTGGTTGTGTGTGGGTGGTGGTGGTGGGTGGGGATGTGGTGGTGGTGGGGGTTGTTGGTGTTGGTGTGGAGTGGTGGTGGTGGTGGTGTGGTGGTGATGGTGTGGTGTATGATGGTGGTGGGGTGGTGGTGGTGGTGGTGGTGGTGGTGGTGCATTGGGTGTGTGTGAAGGTGGTGGTGGTGGGTGGTGTGATGGTGGGTGATGGTGGTGTGTGGGGTGGTTGATGGTGTTGGTGTGGTTGGTGGTGTTGAATGGTGGTGCTGGAGGGTGGTGTTTGGTGTTTGTTGGTAGGTGGTGATGATGGTGGTGTGATGGTGGTGGTGGTAGTGGGTATGGTGGTGGTGGTGGTGATGGAAAATGGTGATGGCCGCCTGGTGGTGATGTGGTGGTGGGTGGTGGTGGTGAGGGTGGGGGTGGTGGTGATGGGTGGGGTGGTGGTGGTGGGGGGGTGATGGTGGTGTGTGGGTGGTGATGGTGATGGTGATGGATGTGGTGGTTGGTGGTGGTGTGGTGGTGGTGATGGTTGGTGGTGAAGTGTGGTGGTGGGTGGTGTAGGTGGTGGTTTGGTGGGGGTGTTGGTGGTGGAGGGGTGTGGTTGTGATGGTGGGGTGTGTGTTTCGGTGGTGGCTGTGTGGTGCATGGTGGTGGAACGGTGGTGGTGGTGGTTGTGGTGGTGATGATGGTGGTGAGGTGCGTGGTGGTGGTGGTGGTGATGGTGGGGTGGTGGTGGTGTGGTGGTGGCTGGTGGTGGTCGGTGTGTGATGGTGGTGATGTGGTGGTGGTGATGGTGGTGGGGATGGTGGTGGTGATGGTGGTGGTGGATGGTGCGTGGTAGGTGGTGTATGTGCTGGAGGTGGTGTTGGTGGTTGTTGTTGGGGTGTGTATGATGGTTGGTGGGATGGTGGTGTGTGGTGCTGATTGGTGGTGGTGTGGTGATGAGAAAAGGTGATGGTGGTGTGATGGATGGTGGTGGTCGGTGGTGGTGATGGTGGGGGTGGTGGGATGCGGGGGGGTGGTGATGGTGGGGGTGGTGGTGGTGGTGGGGGTGATGGTGGTGGTGGTGGTGATGGTGATGGTGTGTGATGGATGTGTTTGGTGGTAGAGTGGCGTGTGGTGTGGTGGTGATGAATGGTGGTGAAGTGTGGTGGTGGTGGTGGTGGTTGTGGTTTGGTGGGAGGTGTTGGTGATGGATGAGGTGTGGTGATGTGGTGAAGTGAGTTGGTGGTGGGTGGTGGTGGTGTGGATAGTGTGATGGTGGTGGGTAGGTGGTGGTGGTGGTGGTGGTGATGGGTGGTGGTGGTGGTGTGGTGGTGATGTGGTGGTGGTGGATGGTGGTGGTGGTGTGTGGTGGTGGGTGGTGGTCGGTGGTGTGGTGATGGTGGTGATGGTGGTGGTGGTGATGTGGTGGGTTGGTGATGGTGTGGTGTGGTGGTGGTGGGTCGTGGTGGTGATGGTGTTTGGTGGTGGGTGGTGGTGATGGTGTGGAGTGGTGTTGGTGTTGGTGGTGGTGGTGTGATGATGGTGGTTGGTGATGTTGTGGTGTGTGGTGATGGTGGGTGGTGGTGGGTGATGGAAAAATGGTGATGGTTCGTGTTGGTGTGGTGGTTGGTGGTGATGGTGGGGGTGGTGGTGATGGTGGGGGTGTGGTGGTGGTGTAAGGAGGTGATGTGGTGGTGGTTGATGGTGGTGGTGGTGGTGGTGAATGGTGGTGTGATGTGGTGGTCCGGTGGTGTGAAGGTGTGTGTGGGTGGTGGTGGTGGTGGTGGTGGTGTGGTTGGTTGGGGTGTTGGTGTTGTGGTTGGTGGTGGAGGTCTGGTGTTTGATGGTGGTGGTTTGTGGTGGTTATGGTGTGTGTGGTGGTGTGGTGGTAGGTGATTGTGGGTGTCGTTGGAAGGTGGTGGTGGTGGTGGTGGTGATGTGGGGTGTGGTGGGTTGGGTGGTGATGGTGTTGGTGGTGGGTGGTGGTGGTTGATTGTGGAGTGGTGTTGTGTTGTGTTGTTGTTGGTGGTGGTGATGATGGTGGGTGCGGTGTTGGTGTGCGTGTGTGGTGATGTGTTGTGTGGTGTGCGGTGAGTGGTGGTGGGTGGGTGATGATGTGGTGGTGGTGGTGTGTGGGTGGTGGGTGTGGTGGGGGGGGTTGATGGTGTGG